TTGTTTAGCCAAGTTAGATTCTTTTTTTGTGTCTAAAAATCAGAAGTTTCATTTGTGAATGAAAAACAGTTTTAAACAAGTTTTCTTTTAGTTTTAGTTTTTTTTTTTTTTTCCTGCAGAAAATTTAATCTTTTGTTAAGGTCAAGAGACAGCCGGATTTTTCTCACTTTGATCAAAAGAAATACTCAACGCATTGGTTTCTAGATTGATTTTGGGAGATAGGCGTATTATAAAATATGTGTTTAACGTAAGCTCACCTGAAGCCAAGCCGGTTGACCAGCTTTGTCCTTTGCATTATTTATTTATTTAGATTTTATCCTTCTGGACCCTCAATATATTTTGTTTATTACCTTTTCTTGGTCTTTCTTTTTTTCTTCCTCCCAATTGAGACCCTATGGTGTTAGCTGTGCGTAGTTATCAAGCTTTAGCAGTGTAGAAGATTCAAAAGCATGTGAACCAGGGCTAGGGCTAGAATTAAGTTGGATGCTCGGACTAGGTAGACAGTCAATCTGCAGCAGCTTGGTCCAATATATCTTGGATCGATGCATCCAAATTTATGAGTCTCTTCAAGTGAGTCTGCAGTTCAAGAGATAATTTGTTTTTTTCTTAAGAAGATTTTCTGATAGCTCTGACAGTTAAAAGATGCATTGAGCTAGCTTTTGCATGAACATTTGAGCAGTTAGAAGCTATTTTGGTAGATGTATATCTTTTTGTGCATCTTTCCGTATCTTTTCGTGCGACAATAAAATGCGAAAGACACAAAAACTTCATTTGGAACTTCCCAAAATCAACTCAAAATGAGTTTCTTGTATCTTTTCGACGCTCTAGCTTTTGATGGCTAAATTTTCCACAAATCAAATGGAAATAGACCGAAAATCGATCTACCCAATTTATAAACAGCTAAAAAACCGCATGAAAAGACACGGCAAACAGACCTTATTAAATTATTACAATTAGTACGTACCCAGTTTATCAAAACCGGGACACCCATTATTCAATTCAATGGTTTTGTAAAGAAGACCCCAGGTCCAATATTCTATCAAAGAAATTACACATAGGGAAAAAGAAAAAGGTTTCCTACTCAATCCACAATCACATCACAAGACAATAGATTGTAGAGATACATGCATTTTTATAAAACGGAAAAGTTCCAATCCATCAATTGGGACAGAAAGTCCGGGTTAATTGGGTTGGGAAGTTGAGAGAATGATGGGGTCTCATCAGATTCTTTGATGTTATGTCATGCAATTAAGTTGCATTTGGCATTTCTTATTTTAACCATTTATCACCTTTTTACTATTAAAATGCCTTTAATTGTCAAATGCAGCCTTAACCTATTTATTAAACTTCATTTTGGACTAATAAAACTATGTGTGCATGGTAGGTTATCTATATATAGCTTTCTCCCACTAAATAATTACTTTCATCTTTATCCCAGTGGTCGTGATCGAGACAGTTGTGGTCTTGAGTTCACCATATCCAAAATATCTACCCCCACTATGTCTATACCCTCCTAAACAATCAATCCATAAAGGTTTGCGTGCTTAATTAATTAATACCCACCCTAAACAATAAATCGATAACCTTTATTTATTTATTTATTTTATTGGTATTGCCTAAGACTTTTGGTAATTCTTCACCGTTTCTTGATCAACAATCCCTAACATCTGTTGAGAGTAAAAGGCAGTGTTTTCAAAATCAGATCGGACTGAGACAGTTGGATCGGAAAAATCAGGAATCAGTCACCTCATCAGTTTTATTTTACCCTAAAACCGTTTTTTATCAAAAACTGTTGATTTAGTCAACAAACTACTGATCCGGGTGATCGAACTATCAACCTGAACAACAGTTTTTAGCTTTTTTTTTTATCAAAGTGGACCATCTGTTCAGACCGGACAATCAGACTGTTTGACCCAAGAATCAGACCCTGAACAGTTCCTTGTCCGATTCAATTTTAAAAACTTCGGTAAAAGGAGCCTGCTCTTTGTCGGGCTTCTTGAGGCAAAGCAGGCTTTTTTTTTCTTCTGTTTTTCCTTCCTTCATATTATAGTTGATTAATAGAATTTTAAGGTAGCCATTCCTCCACTTGTTGCAAAATTTAGGGTTAAAAAGAAAAAAATCCTACTACGAAGAAGCAGAAAATGGATAAGACCATATATGTGTGAGAGAGAGACCATATTGCTTTAGCTGATGTGGCATTTTCTTTTGTTTTGAGAAATAAAACCATAAACGAATCAATTCTTAACTTGCTATTTTATAAAGTTAATATACATGATAGAAAAGTTTGGTCCAAAAATTTCAAGAATTCGCTGGGAAACGCCCTGTATTGTGTGAATCCAGATTTCCTACTCACTTTCTCTAGCTGAGCCCTACCCACATTATATTGTAACTGCACATCTCACAATACACCATATGGAGATGTGTGTGACTGCAATTCAAGATGGGTAAAGAGTAGTAGGTAGGAAATCCAGTTTCGTATTACTTTGCCTTTTTCTTATATTACCAAAATATCTAAGGATTCGTTTGATTTATGGGAATAGGGGTTATAGGTCAAAGAAGTTATATTACCAAAATAATTTTAAGAGATTCCGATTCTGACTGTAAACCAAACAAACCCTAAGAGTTATAGGTCAAAGAAGTTGATAGTACTAAATACCTGATGAGAAGCAATCCGGTTAATTAGGTTGACTTGGCTTGGTGAATCCACTAACTTGGTTTAGAACTACAGTTGAGTAAGGGTAATCATCAAAACATCAAAAACCAAAAAACCAAACTGAACTGATAAGACTGAACCAAAAATTCCATTAATCAAATCAATTGGTATGCATATATTCATATATATTATATGCATATTTATGTATATTATATATATATATATTTATTTATTTATATTTATAAATAATATATTATTTATTATGTATAATATAATATTTTATATGTATTTCTAATATTTTTATTATATAATTATGTATTTATTTACAATATATTATAAATATCAAAAAAACCCAAAAAACCAACAAACTGAAATGATGATTAACTAAACCGACCAATTAATTAACCAATTGGCTTCGATTTAATTTCAATTACCAATTTAAAAAACCAATAATATCGATTCAGTTTAGAAAATAGACCCACCAAAACGTGGGCACCCCTACAGTTTGAGTCGTTGAGTCGTTGAGACAGGTGATGCACATGCAGATATGGAATTGCTGGGGCCAACAATTGAATGGGTCCATCGAATTGAAGAGCTCTTCTATATCAAATTGTCGATTCAAGCTTAACTAATCAAATAAAATTAACTTCCACATAAATGTCCTCATATGTATTTTTGCCGTCACCTTTTTGTACAACAATAGAGTATATATTCACCCCAAGCATATTTCTAGTTGTTTGATAGAGACTGAGGATGATATTTATGACCCTGCCTGATTCGGCCAATTATACGGGCCGGGTGGGACCATTTTTAAATCGAATTGGATAGGGAACCGTTTTGGGGTTTGGCTTTTGGGTTAAACGGTCTAATTGTTCGAATCAAATGGATGGCCTGTTTTGATAAAAAATAAATAAACAGTCACTTGGGTTAGTAGTTCACTGATAAAATCAACAGTTTTTGACTAAAAAGCGGTTCTGAGCTGAAACAGAACCAATCAGGTGATCAGTTCCCAGTTTTTCAGTCCAACCGTCTGATTCAGTCCAGTCTTAAAAACATTGGCCTGGGCAGACCTAAAATCTGTTATTACTCTGTAAAAACCTAATGAAGGCCCAGCCCCGCCCAGCCTGGTCCATGATTATCCCTAACCCGAGGCTTGACATATTCTACCATATAAAACTGAAGAGATCCTCAAGACCCAAACAGAGAAGAAACCAATCGTGAAGCTGATCATTTAGCCCTTTAGATAATTAGAAACAAGTTGGATCACATGATTAGAAACTAAGGGCCCGTTGGGTTCACAGGGCCATAGGGATCTGGAATCGGAATTGAAATGGGCTATTCTGATTCTAACTGTTTGGTTTGGCGGAATCAGAATCTCATTCCCATTCCTGCTGGAATGGCATTCTTCCATTTGAGAGAATGGTCATTTCCTGCCCCTTCCTTGAAAATAAAATCTCATTCTTGTTGATTTTAATTCCTATTCCTATTTCTGTCTGAATCAAGAATGCACCATTCCGATTTCAATTCCAACTATAAACCAAACGGATCCTATGTAACGCAAATGCAAGTCTTTATAACCAATTCTTTTCTTATTATTCCTTCCAATTTCAAGTAGGAAACATTTTATATGGACGACCTATTGAACTATACTTTGGGGGATGCACCCTGATAAACTATATCCATGATTCCATGGTCAACATATGTTTTATACAAAAGAACTAATGTTGATTAAACACATGGGTATGGTTCCTTTTATCAGGAATAGAGACCACATGGATTTCTTATTAGGTGACATATCATACAAAGCCACATTAGATAACCCTAAATTCCAACAAAGAAGGCATTTTTGCAGTGTGTAGAAAATGAAGAAAGAAAAAAAAAAGGGGGAAATTGCAGACACATGGGTAGACACTATAAGAACCCTCATTCAACTGGATAGTATGTGAGATAGGGGGTATATAAAAAAAAGCAAATAGATGGTTGATTACTGCTGCTCTTGTCCATGGCCCATGGGTAACCCTTCATCAACTAAACACAACAAGGCTAGCTCAATCTGAGCTTAGCCCTTTTGAATCAAATATGGGCAGCTTGAATGGTTGAGAGAGAGAGAGTTTTGAGACATGAGAGAGAACCAATTAAACCGGCAGTAAAAAGCCTTAAAATCAAAGGGACTTTTGGTCTGTGTGTAGGGCCTTGTACCCATGATTGAATTATTGCAAGATGACAAAACAACTAAATGAGGACTCTGGCACATGCATCTTCACATGCACCTCCACCGTTATTATTCCTCATCACCTATACCTAATCATCTCATGTGATCGATCTCTTGTCAACAATTTCATATGTTCTCACTATAACTACCACCCCTCCTTCCCATCACCACAGATGCTACCAGTGGATCTCTCCTCTGTCCTACCTCTCTCTCTCTCTCTCTCTTTCCCCTCTGTCTCTTCTTCCATTAAGCAACCATGTTCTCTTCTTGTAAACATTGTTTAAGCCCTCTACGAAAGTGGGTCCTAACCTTTAGTCAGCAAATCAAGTCCCTGAACAAGGTCGAGATACGCAAAAGAAGAAAACCCAGGAGATTTTCTTCCGGTTTCAACTGGATTACTTCATCAATCACAGCCATGGAAGTGTCTAACCAGCTGGAGCAGGTGTTTAGGCTCATCGATGCCAACGGCGATGGGAAGATATCTTCGTTAGAGCTCGGGGAGGTGCTCCTGTGCCTTGGGTACGAGAAGTCAAGAGCTGCCAAGGAAGCTGAAGGAATGGTAAGAGAGGTGGATTGTAACGGCGATGGGTTTATTGACTTGGAAGAATTCATGGAGGTCGTCGGCGGTTACGACGAGGTGGGAGGCAGTGGCAGGGAAAACGAGCTCATGGATGCTTTTCTCATTTTTGATACCGATAACAACGGTTTCATATCAGCTAAGGAGCTGCAGAGAGTGCTAGTCAGCCTTGGATACAGTAAGTGCAGTCTCGATGAATGCTTTCTAATGATCAGAGCAGTCGATATGGACGGTAATGGGCTGGTGGATTTTGAAGAGTTCAGATCAATGATGACAGGATGCTATGCTTAGGTTGAAGATGAATTTGGATGAACTGATGCTCAACCTTTGTAATTGAGAGAGCTGAAGCTTCTAATTAATGGTGATGAAGAATGAAGATAGAAGATCCTCCGTTCTACATATACGGTAAGAAGATGAACCGTCTATAATTGCTGTAAATGTATGTATCTACAAATAATAAAAAAGAGTGTTGATAGAAAACTGTGAGAAATTCTGAGCATATAAAAATCTGTAATCGTTAGAGAAGATTAGACCCACGAGGCCACAACTTAATTTTCTATTGGTTATTGTGCCTTTTTAGAGATAGACTTGTAGGCCGGATGGATGTAGATGTAGTGAAGTATGTAGACTGTATAGTTGGGGAATTACCAACCCGAGCTTTGTAAACCAGACTGAGTACTTGATTAATCCGGCCATTTCATTAAAATATTAAACATGAATCCAGAATTCTAGATATATTGTACTTGGGCGGTATTCCATTTGTGATTTGACCATTTGAAGTTGAGAATTGAGATGCTAAGCTCATCATCTTGATGAAATTAGGTCAGGGTTTAACCAATTGAAACCGGGGAAAATGGCAGGATTGGAAGGTGGACTCAAGAACCCACCATCAAATTGAAAGCAAGAGGTGGGTTGGGAGCTGTGGGTTCAGACTATGCAGATCTCCCAGCCTGACCCATCTAGCTCCTCCCTCACAACTCAGTGTCTTCATGCAGCAGTAACCAGCCTTGCCTAAATTGCTCATATTATCAAGTTTATTTGGCAAATTCTAGCTTAATTATATTTGAAATTGGGTTTCGGGGGTTGTATTTGTATCCAGTTATCCACTATTTTGTTTGTCCAGTATTTGTTAGGTCGGTGCAGGGCGGTATCTCAGGCGGCCGGCCGGTCCATGAAATGAATGGTAGCCAAAAAGTAGTGATCATCTTCCCTATAACAAGCCAAAAGAATAAATGAATGATGTTGGGAGTCCAAAACTTATCCGGCAGGGCACTTGGGAACAGGACAGGTGGAGCAGTTACATATTTTGTCAGGTCTGTGGATTTTATTTAGTAAAGCATTAAAGCCGGTTGTACCAATCAAACCCTGTTCGGGAGCGGTGTGGTTCAGGTTCACCATTAGGCGCTAGCCGCTATAACAGCGAATAGCATCGTTTGGTTGAGTATTTTTGTTGAGATTTGGCGTTATAGAAGATACTTAATGCATTTAATTTTTTTTCATTAAATTCAACACTTAAGATATAAATTTGTATTTATCTTTATTGAATTATATATTTAAGTCATTTTTATTTTTTATTATTAAATTTTATTAATTAAATATATACATAATAAATTAATAATTCCAATAACATAAAAATAACTTTTAAAATCTACCTGAAAAAAAAATAGTATTTTCATCTAGGCAGTGGTAAGAAATTATATCATTTTGGGTCAAATGGGCCAATTCATGTTGTCACAATTAAATAATAAAATTCAAAAATAGATAAAATACAAAAAATACAAAAATATAAAAATTAAAAAAATTGGGAACATTTTTAGCATCATATATTTGACATATTAAACAATAATAAGTATGGTAAATAAGAAATGGAATGTAAAATTTAAAACCAATTAGAAATAAAACTATTTTCCTATTCTCTCTCATTAAAACTCATATTAAGGTATATTCTCTCATTAAATCCACAAGATTAATTTTAATATTATAAAAATAAATATTTTGAAAACAAAACTATTTTGGGTCAAATGGGTTAATAAATAATGTTGATGAGGGATAATTTGACCCATCAAATGATGTGACGACACGTGGAGTGACAAAACGATGAGGTGACACCTCAGCGACCTCGGTGACCTCAGCAGTCCCAGTCACCTCTTAAACTTCGGGTCACCCAGCTAGACCAAGGCTCAAATAGCTCAATTATATGCACCGATCTGCCGAGATGCCACGTAACCTCTATCCAGAAGCAAGCCAACTATCTCCAATCTCCTCGGGATCACGAGACCACGTCAACGGAGTTCATCTTCTCCCCACCCAATTCGGATGAACCTGGATAAGCTTTATCAGCTTATGCAGAGTCTGTCTTCATGTGTGAAACCAAACTCCATAAGCAAATTTCATTAAAGACAACAAAGAGTTACATCATCAAAAAAAAATCAGGCCGAGCTCGGAGGCTCGACACATTACACATATACAAGGGGGTCCAAGAAAAGAGGCAAGATATTTCAAATATCATGGGCTCCTCGACCCCACCACCAACCACCTTAGTGGCATCGACATCAGCCCCAACAACTTGCTCACTAGCTACAGCTCCCTCGTCGACCCCATCTTCCTCATCCTCGGAGTCAAGCTCTAGATCAACCTGATCTGTCATCTCGTTCGTGCAAGCTAAGGACTTTATCTTGGAAAGGTCGACCTCAAGGTACACTGACCCCACCAGCATTCAGCACAACTTGAAACCTTGGCAAAAAGTGTTGGTGCCGAACTCCTCCCTTTCCTTCAAGAAGTTCAACAAAGTCTTGAACTTCTCAACAACTCGAACCTTGACAGATTGAACCTCGTCAAGGAGCTGTTCTTCGCGCTAGGTGAAGAGAGCTTCCTTCTCTTGCAGCTCCTAGCTGAGCTTCTCGATGTGAAACTCCAGCTCACCGATCCAGTTCCGATCTATGGCTAGCTCATTCTTCAAGCCACTGATGAATAAAATGGTCCATACAACCCGAGACTACTACTCGCTCGCCGCCGCCTCAACAGATTGGGCCCTCGCTAGATGCCATTCAGATTGCCCGACTAGGGAGTGAGGCAAGGTGTTCGCCTACAAAAGAAAACAGAAGCAAAGTATGGAACACAGATCGGGAATAGCATGATGAGGAGATTGGGAACTTACCATCATGAGATAATGCATGATTTTGTCGCTGAGCTCGCCAGGATGCACTTCACGAAGTTCAACAACCTCCTCAGGGAAGACAACCTCCTTGCTCTTAATTAGGGTAGTCTGAAAATCCATGATGGTATGCCCCCCCTCATAAATGTCCTCTGCGTCCGAACTATCGGTCGTCGTGGCCTCGGGTGGTAGATGACGCCTCGAATGTCTGGACAAGTTCCTCAGTCTCTAGTGAGGTCCTCTCCGGCTGATCTTCTCTGACCAGGTCGACCACCAGCGCTGCCTTGGCAGCACTCGGCGTTGTAGGCTCAGGAGCCGATGATACTCAAGGTGCTTCCTCGTCGGCTACCTTTTTCTTCTTCTTCCTCATGTTTTGAAGCAACTCGATAGTTGGTACGCTCGACATGTCTCCTACACGAGAAGCCTAAGAGTTAGTCGAACTAAAATAAAGTAAAGAAAGGGAACGCTCGAGCCTGAGACGATGACCTACCCAGAGGACTCAGCCCTACCTAGATCAGCTTCTCCTCGGCCAAGAACTCACTCAGCATCAACTGTTGGTCTACAATGTTCCGCACTCTGGCCTGCACCTACTCGCTCAAGGTCTCATCCCTAGAGTCTCTCACCTCCTCTCTCTCCAGGACGTCGAGAACAACCATCCACCAGGCAACTCAAGGAAGAAATACTTCCTCTACCAAGTTGGCACTTTGGAAGGGAAGCCGTGTAAAATCTTGTACCTGGGTCGGTAAGACAAGTAGTAACTATCCCTACCCGAGGTGCTGGCAGGGTTGTGTTTTATTTGGCAAAGGCCGACAAGGTCCTAATATCTAGGGGAAGGCCACTATGATGACAAAGAGAAATTGTATCGATCAAAGTGTGGACTGAATTCAGGTGCAGTTGATAAAGGCTAATATTGTAATAGTTTAGGACCTCAGGAACAAAGGGATGGAAAGGAAACTAGAGACTTGCCTTTAGAGCCTCCTCGAAGACGGCAACCTCATTCTCCTCATGCTTCCAAGGGAACGCCCCAAGAGGGAGGAAGTTGCCGAACTGGTTAGGGATCCTGTACCGAGCCACAAGTCTGTAAATCTCATTAGCAAAAAGTCCAATGGGACCGAAGTGGTCCGATACCTTGGCCTTAGATTGCTAATGGGAAGACAAAGCCCCTTTATGGGAACCTCGTTGGTCCTGGACCAAGGACCCCCTCCTTGGCCTGATCGAACAGCCCTCTCTCCTCTCTAGACTCACCACTAGACATAATAGAAAAAGCAAGGGAAGACAACTCACCAAAGGAACAAAGTGATCGACCTCGTCGACCTGATCGAAAACTCCGACAACACTGTGCTCTGCGACCTCAATATGCACCATAACTTAGTTATGACAAAAGAAATGGGTCCCCAATGGCCCTATTTATAACATTTTAAGCCAAGCAATAGATGGTCCAAATCAAATAGATCCAACGGTTCCCAAGGGTGTGACTATTCATATTCTAAGGCAAAAACAATTGAGTGTGTTTTTAATGTCCACGGTGTTAGACAGTTTTGTATGCCCTTAGCTTCAATCAATTTTGATGTACTTTTGATATTTAATGTAAATAAATAAAGTACATGTTTGATTCATGTTGTGTGGTATGCTTCTGTGTAAGACCCTAAAACTGGACACTTAATGAGACTTGTGTTAGTTTTAAATGTTCACGGTCGTTGGATAAGTCAGGGGAGATTTATCCTGCCAAGGCTGACACTGGTGTGTTGCCAACTGTCTCAGCCGCCAAGGTGAGACCCAAGGCACACGTAGTGTAGGATTACTTGAACCCTTGAACCGGACCAGATTTCCAGTATTGCCCTGGACCTTGGAGATTGATGGGCAAAATTGGAAAGTTACACCTGACCCCTAGACCCGATTATGGTACTGCACTAGGTGTCAGATTGGGTTGTCTTTGATATGTCAATCAGTGAGATCCTTAGCGGGGGTCAAAACTTGGGTATGTTGGGACAATCTGAGAATTCATCTGAGTGGGTGATCATAGTGACRGGATCAGCCCCTTTGTCGGACAAAGGTAATGATCAGGGATGCACTCTCTCTGATGGAAACCAAACTGCCGACAATTGATTTCAATCGTTGGAATTTTATTTTGCAAAATTTATATATATGATATATACCTATATATGGTTTCAAAATGTTTGCAAATGGTTTTAATTCCCGGCATCCATGTGAGTAGAGAGTGTAGCACTGTTCCTTGCAGCCGAGGGAGAGGTCCTCTCTTGTCGAGTAGTGCTTGATCATTATGGGCTGAGAGGTTAAGTGTAAGGCCATTTAGGATAATACCTGATGGGGCTAATCTTGCATATGCCCACAGTCCCTGGGTTTTTATAAGATGGCTTGGCCCAGGGACCACTTAGTATAAGTGTTGGGCCCATAGGGTCCATGTGATGGGCTCAAGGGGTTCATTGGGCTTTCTAGTGAATTCGGATAGGCCTTGTAACAGAGGCTAGGCTGAACCCATGTGGCTGATGTGTAGATCAATGCTTGGGTCCCACACCATACAGAGAAGCCC